AAAATAGAATCACGCGATTATTCATCCAACAATCGTTGCAATTGGTATGCGAAAGAGATTCACATTTCCTGGAAAATATTTTCTCCCCAAAATTTTCCTTTTGTTAGGAGATGATACTCACACTGTGCTGTGCCGGTTTTTGCCCCAAGAAAGTAGCTCAGCAGAATGTAACACAAATTTGAACTGTCCGTTTGCCTGCTTCATTGGAGATGAGCATGTGAACACAGATTGGATAATCGAGCCGATTTTCCTCGAAAATAAAATTTTGTCGATTCCAAGATTTCAATCAATCAAATATCCAATACATTTCCTCGACAACAATATCAAGTGACAGGATATATCATTCCTCCCCCACTCAAGCTCACCACCATAACTCCCCTACTCCCCTCCACCAAATATCCAACACAAGCTGAACCATCGCACACAACCCCCAAGATAACACAATTCAACCACATCTTCAGAGCCGTCCTAGTATATCCAAAATACCAAATCATCCATAGGTAGGTAGGTAGGTAGGTAGGTAGGTAGGTACACAAAACATGCCTGCATTCAACGGCGCACCGTAAGATTTCCATCAGCTTTCGACCACCACATACAGTCAGTCACTGTGAGGCTGAAGTCGAAGCTGACATTCGTAGCACAAGTATCGTATGTAAAGCACGGTGGGTAACAATCTTCCTTATGATCATCATTATCACCAATCACCAAGTATGAATGAAACATTGGGTATGAGGCATTCCTCCAAAGCCCTTCCAAACCCTGACATGCTTCATAGAAAAGAAACAAAAAAAAACTACTTCTCACTGTGCAATGCACGGCTGGTGGCTATCGGGCTCTAACTTCGTTTCCCGTTCGCATTGATACCAAATAAAGAGCCACCACATTTAATCACGTTTCACTTGCGTATGCTCGCATTTAGATTCAAACGGTCATCTAAAATTCTGATATGTCAAATCATGTTATCATATTTTTGACTCTATCAATTCATTAAATCGCGACTCGTCTAACTCTAACTTGATATCTCTCTGCTCTGGCAACCGCACGCCAAACTCAACAATCTCACCCATAACTAGAATCTCATCTCAATTCTTTCTACGTAACAATTCCCATCATCGCTGTATCGACATGCTGTATTTGTATCAGTTTGTATCCTTCCTGGTATCAATCCACAAATCCATCTTCAAGATTTGATTATTTCCCAAATGTGCATTTAGTCCCGGCACAAAAGTAAACGAAACAAAGTAGTAAAAGAAAGTCCTCCGTAGCGATCCAGAAGTATGATTTTCCTGAGTTCGCCCATCCAGCCAGGCCCCAAGTCTACCCTGGTCATATTATTACATCAAGACAGATAAATGCCACTTTCCGTCCCACCAACCACCCAACGAAATATTTCCCAAAAATGCCAACCCGCTCAAGTGCCCCATCACTAATTGCCACATAAAAAAGGAGCATGCTGTGATAAGCAAAAAGTCCCGGGAAATAAAATGAAAGCAAAGTAAATGTGGGTATAGACAACAGATAAACCTCCCAATAACGCCATAAAGCATACCCATATTGATTACAGATTTCCCGCTCACTCTTTTTTTTAAAAAAAAAACAGTTACTACAATGAATCATGTAGCTGAGCCTTGGAACTCAGATGTGGACTCTTGAGAGGTTCAATTCCAGGAATTGGATCCGTTGACACCGCTCGTTTGCGCTCGCCTGCACGCATACTTCCTCTAACCTCTTTGTTTGATGGTCCATTTTCAAGTCGATCTTGTATCATCTCATCAAGCATTTTGCTCATCTCATCTACACTTTTTGAATTTTTGAGGGGCGTTGGGGGAAGGACGGTGGGTGGGAGAACCTTCGCCGCGCCTCCGGCACTTGTCAGACTAGGGTCGAACAATTGAGATTCCCTAGCTGAGACGGGACTCAGTGGCATTCCTTGGCCTAGGCTATGGCGAGGATCACGTTCGGCAGTGTCTCGAGACCGAGCAGAACTGCGAAGGGCTGATAACATGCGATCCTTATCATCAAGCCTCGCTCGTAAGTCCGCAATTTCAGCATCCTTGTCTCTCAATAGGTTGGAGATTCCATGGTCTTCTCCCACCATTATATTTGACTTGCTACCGAATTGTACAGACGTCCTTGATTGACTGGAGCGCCGAGCTTGTAGGAGTCGCTTTTCTAGGGTCTGGCAATATCGGGTCTTGTCTGCAAGGTCGGCTTGTAAGGCTCGATTCTGTGCTGCCAATGAAGCGGTACCATTTCCATATTCACCCCCAGAGTCTTCATCCTCCATTGATGTATGGTCGCCTGAGATGGTGCCGGATAGTCGTTGCGCACTGGGTCGTCGGCCAATGGTAGATACCGAATTGGCGCGATCTAGTGTGATGGTGGATGGTGTCATAGATGAGCGCACTGATAATGAAGACATATGGCCACTTGATGCTCCCATCGATAGCCTAGGTCGCATACTTAAAGCAGAATAGGTACCATTGGTATTGACACCAGTGGACTTGGAGCTGAGGATCAGTCTATTTAGATGGTCGATTCTCTCCTTAAGAGCGGTTCGAGCCAACTGCATCTCTATCAATTGCTCGTTATGACGAGCTTTTGCTTCTTCCTTTTGGACTTTATCCTCCTCGTTGAATTTGGCTTTGGTCTGGCCATCCAACTGTTTCTTTAGATCAACGATTTCCATGCGGTATCGTTCTAATAAAGCCCTAGTATTACCATCACCACCTCCATTCGACGCATCCTCCGCCTTTTTAGCATGACTGACAATATTTGCTGCAGCTCTGGAAGCAAACTTCAAGGTGTTCAAAGTCTCGCTAGTATGGCTGTTGGGTCCGGCAGCACTTGCTCCAGATCCAACAGATATAGTACACAGAATGCTGACAAGCGAACCTCCCGAAAGCGCACCTTGAAGAAGTCTTGTAAGCTTGCTGTCGCGATATGGCAAATGCTTTCCGTCCTTGTCCATTGGTTTGCCATCCTTGTCTTTGTTCCCTGACAGTCGAGCAATGACTGTTCCAAGGGTCAACAAACTTTTATTGATATGGGAACCTTCAGTACGTCGTTCTTTCGTTTCGGCGGCTCTCTCTGATCCCGCCAAATCGATCAGACTGAGAGTAGAAACGCGGACGCCACCAGGACTAATTCCTGTCCGTTTATTATCTTGCATGGCTGCTCCCCCGGGGACCCGCTCGCGAGATTCAACCACTATCTGTACGACGGCATGACTACGAGAACTCCTAGCATTAAATTGTGTACTAGAAGTCTTTCGTGCTTGATCACCCCGAAAGATAACACGAATTAACTGTGTTGGAGATTGCACTATTTCTTCTTTTAGTGGTGTGGCATACACGCCTCTCTTGCTGTCTTCTCGGAGCTTGATTTCTTCAGTTTGAACAGCTCCTGGGCCCGTGGCAGGACCTGTAGAAGCACTCAAAAGGTCATGAATCTTCTCATTATATATCTCCAAGTAACTGACCCTGAGTAGAAATTCTCGCGATGGAGTTTCACGGATGTATGAAAAAATGTCGGTAATGGCGAGAGGAATAACACCGGGCATCTTATCTGTTCCTTGCATAGAAAAAGTCTTTCCGGTACCCGTCATACCATATGCGAAAACTGTGCCGTGATACCCCTCCATTACTCGCCGTACGAGCCTTTTAGCGGATGCATCATATACTTTAGCGTTATTATCCTGCTGCGAAAAAACGTTGTCTGCTACTGTATTAGCATCTTACACTTGGAAAATTGTCGAACATAGCTTTACCATAGTAATAATCGCCGCCTTCCTTCCCGCGGTAAGCCACCAGTGATTTCCTTCCGTCTACTACCCATTCTCCGTCACTCTTACTAGTTTCCCCATGACTATTCGCATCCGGACGTACACGTACGCTGACAATGACATTGCCTTTGCCTTCTGCGGGCTTCGAGGATCTTTTATCGGCATCATCAGGTCCCTCTCGACCCCTAAACCCATCTCCAAGCTCTTCGGTGGTTGTCACAGATGTCGAGTATGAATCCTGGGCCGACGAACTACGGCTTTGAGGAGGCGAGGGTAAGCTTAATAGACCATCCGATCCTCGAGCCCCCGCACCGCTAGATATTGAAATACTGTCCCCGCTTCCATTGAGTAAGGTCGGCATGGGTCCACCAACAGCGCTTTGTGTACTAGGATTGGCCATTGCCGTTGGTCGCTTTCGAGGTTTCCCGCTACCACTATTGCTCGAATTGATTTCTGATGATTCTCTTTTACTTGACTCTCCTGTTGATAATGCAGTCCCTGGTGCAGCACCACCAGACAAAGGACTGGGAGGTAAACTCGCTGTTCTAACACCTCCTCGAGGAGGCTGAGGAAATGCATTAATACTAATCGTTTTTCTTACACTTTTACCGGCTGCATTAACTCCTGGAGAAGTCGGTACGTTTGGAAGGCCTGGGCTCCTCAATGTTTGAAGGCTAGATGATGACGGAGTTCTTAGTCCACTTCTAGGCGTACTTGGTGCCTCCGATCTGTCTGTGGGCAATGGCAATGCATTCGTGCTCTTTCGAGCCTTTGGCATAGGTAAAGCCGGTAGTGCTGATGTTGGTGGTCCATAAGAAGGCCTCGAGGCCCGTGGTAAGGTCGCTGCCATTGTTACTGACTCTGAAGCTCAATCTGGGTCGCCTGTTTGTCACTCGAATTCCAGATTCGAGCTTTCTAGTGCCTTGTAGCTGTAAATCTTACAGTTCCATGAAACTCGTTTGCAAAAATTTCTTGAGTTGAGACTTGGTAAATGAGTATTGTGATTTCCAGCCAATATGTGAAGTTACCCAGTAACCAATCAACTGCCTTTGCAAAATCTAGACCAAGGTACCTATTCGTCCTCTCGAAAGTGGGTGAAACCCGATAGTACTCCGTCTGATATGCCTTAATTAGCAAGATTGGGCGTTTGGACCTGTTTGACTTGTCAGTGCACTCTTCCTGGCATCAGGGCAGAAAAATAAAAGATCAGATAATCATGCAAATATATCTCGAGGGACAAGCTCCAATCCCAAATATGGGGATGATCTTACAGATTAAGGTTCCAATGCGAAAACCATGTGTATGTTCCAGATGCGAAGATTTTATTTTCGGAAATTCCTCCTCAAGATATGCAAGTTCCCTTTGCTAGTGATGTTGGGTGCCACAGTCGAAAAATGTACAGAGTAATTATCCGATTACCCTAGGACTAACAGACAGGACTAACAGACGTTGACAAATTATATGTGATATCGTGTTCATGCATTCAGCAGACTGGATCGAATCAATGGCTTCTGGAAAGTATTTTTTGGTAAAGTTGGACGTCTTTGGATGCAGTGCCTATGATAAAAAGAAGTAGTGCTGTGCAGGCTCTCGACTTCAATTGGTTGGTATTTGTGAAAGTATGAACCCTCAATCTTCCAACCTTTTCATGCGATTGGCAAATGGGTAAGACTGAAAATCAAATCGTAAGAAAGAGATGAAAAGAATCTTCTATTGTTGATCTTCTTTGGTATGAAATCGTATGTTTTAGGTTTGTGAACGGTGAATCGATTATAGTCTCTCGAGTCCCGACGGTGAATTTGGCGACAAATGAAGGAATAGTCGCAGGTTCGGTGACACAAAGGCAGGAAGCCGTCACTTGGCGAGTTATATGGGAGTACGAGTGAGATTGGTATGGAACATAAATAAGGATCGTGATATCGTCGTTCTTTTCGCAGTCGTGAGAGATGGATAGAATGGCAGGAAAATTATTCGAAGCTTTCGAATAGTGACGCGAAACCAGACGTGTACAAGAAGTGAGGAGTGGACGAAAAAAAAGCAAGGTAAAGTAAGTACTGGGTACTTTTTTCTGTAGCGTTTTAGTGTTAAACCCAAGGTTACATAGAGTATGCAGAGCTGCAGCGCGGAAGCTTATTGGAATATGCAACAGAGGGGTGATAAAAGATAGAAGAGAGTTCTGATCTATGAATGGAGCAGACGAAAGAGCTTACTTACTGTATAACTCTGTGAGTGCGGATGTGTCCTACCACTTTGAAATCAACCATGCACTTCCTCTCTCGGCTCGACTCGACTCATGGGGATGGTGGGTGATTGATGGGCGATGGGTTGATGGGTGAAGGATGATGGGTGATGGGTGATGGGTGATTGTACTACAAGGTTGCAAGGGGAAGGCAAATGTACCGTTGACCTGAACAGGGTAGGTGATTGATTCGTGAAGGGTGGTGAATGAGTGGACTTTTTCGTTACCAGTATCGGATAGTTGGTGGGTCGAAGAGAGAGAGAGAGAGAGAGAGAGAGAGAGGAAGAGAAAAACAAAAGGGACTGACTACTTCGGTCCCATGTAGATTATGAGTTATCTGGTCTAGGGATCAATATGGTAAAGAACGAAATGCAGAACATACAGAAGATGGCATGGTAATTTAGGATGTTTAATTCTGGAATTTTCGCTTTTTTTTTTCCTTTCTCCTATCAATTACAAGAGATGATATAATAGTAGCTACCATGGACTTACCAGTGTACCACCCTCCACCGTCGCCTATCTAGCCTAGACCCATTACTCGTCGTTGATTCGTACTCGAGTCTCGAGAATAGAAAAACTTTAAAGCTCGGAACCTTTGTCACTCATGGGTATGTTTGGGAGAGAATTATCTATATTATTATCTTTTTTACACCGCAGAGATGCCCTTCCTTCTTTCGTGTTTTCCATGGCCCGAGGAGGGAATGTGTGGATAAGTTAACTTCCCTCACGAATAATCTGGAAGAAGATAATATAAATGGACGATTACTTCGGGGATAGTGCGGAGCATCTTGGGCAATCTCTGCTCTCTTGGGAATATATTGAACCTAACCCTCGCTAGATATCCTTATCGAAATTGATCAAATTTGGGCAGGAAGTAACTAGAGGTACAACCTTGGAAGACCTTACCTACTTATTCCTCCGTAGAGACAAGAGGGATGAAGGGGAAGGGGAAATGGCTAGGGAGGTGGACCATGATTGGTCAATGGTATAGCATACTTATTACTCGGAGAGAGAGAGAGAGAGAGAGAGAGAGAGAGAGACGATAAAGTGATAAAACGATATAACGACATAGTGGTCCTCTCGTGTGGTAGAATTCATTGTACAGAATCACAATGTAACACCATTCATCGTTCATCGAAGATTCATCTCTATCAAAGATTTCCAATGGAAGATTTGGTTTACTTTTGTCCTAATATGATGTGATGCTCCTTATTAGTACCTAATAGGTATGCCATTTCCGAATTTATTAGTTGCTTTTAGCAGATCTTACTTCACCCCAGACTACAACATCCTTCAATGAATGATCCAGACAGAGGTGTACTAATAATAACCTTGGAAGCCCTTCATTAACCCCAGACAAAGATGCTTACCATCAATGTCATTCATACACCATGCATGCCGGTACTTTTCTAAAAGGATGTTCATCAATCGATATCTCTTGCATGGTGATACCCTTTTCGCCTTTGCACCCACTATCAAACAGTGTACGTTTTGGTAGCATGGCAGCATGTCAGCTATCAAACATGTCTTGTGCAGAAGGAGTCAAGTACCTCCGCTATAATATTTGCTTCAAGGCTACTTGCCTCTAATACACTTATCCAAAGCTTCCAAGGTTCCTCTCCCCCCATACCAGCTCTGAAATAGATTGGTTAGACACAGAAGGTGAAATACCGTTTGATGATTTCAGCCCCACGCAGCACATTCGACCTAGGTAACCTTCATGTCTATCTATGTGATTGATCTCATATCGATAATAGGTTCACCAACTTCCTACAAAATTACCCGGGGTGAGGGGCAATATTAAAAGAAGCTCAGGGTTTGAAAGAAACGCAGGGGTCGCAAATGAGAGAGCGCCCAATCCGTGCCATCATTACAAGGTAGGAGACGTTTTCGAATCTTTTTACATTTTCCGAAGGCTTTGTGTGATCAAAGGAAATGATTTAAGTGTGGGAAGTGTATTTGATACATACGGGGTAGATGGCGAATATACACATTCCAGTAACTTACATTTGGCTATGGCACCATGATACATGAACATACCTACCACAATGGACTTTCCAAATAAACGCTTGAATATTAATCTAATCTCAGTTGAAAAGTTTAAACTGAATGCATTTGATTGTTGAATTTGAGTTGAAACATTCAAAGCATTTAATGATCAAATTGGCATTAGAACATTGATTATGTGTGAGGTTTACTTGATATCCAACTTATTTCTTGCATCGCATGCTTAACCTTATCAACAGGAGAGAAATTGATACCCCCGAGACCTGAGCACTGTTCATTCAAAATACTCCGCTGCTGAACATGCAGTAGTAAACTCCACCCATGGATGATCTCCGCATTTGATTTGAATTTTATACATTATATGGAGCTCACCAGCCAATCTAGACCAAGTATTGTTTCTCCCTGCAGATTCGAACAATCTAATTTCATCTTGGCTTTCAAACAACAGTAATCGCGAAGGCTGAAGATTCAAGATCGATCCACGGTATTCCAGATAGACTCCAGATCCTCCATGTACTTTCTATAATGCACGTACGCCCCTCCCGATGCTCCTGGTATCGAAGACTTCAACTAAGCCTGCGCCAACGCACTCTGCCAATATCCATTCAAATGAGATTCCATAAAACTGCTTCCATTTCCTAGTCTTGCCGGGAAGAACGCCAGAGAATTCTCCTCTATGCCTCTTTGCCGCGCTGGTCCCTTCGTCTGTTTCAATTCCACCATCCCACCGCTGCCGTAGAAGAGATTCGGGCGCTTCACGATACTTCGATTCCGACAGCAAGGACACGAGGTGAGCACGGGCATTACTCAACAGTTTAAGAAATTGTCCTGTTGCTGGAAGGGAAAAGGTTAAATCACCCTTTCCCGACAATCGAGCACCGCCTCCACTCCCCCCAGAAGCATGAACAGCCCCTTCACCACCAACGGCAGCTAGAGATCCAGAACCTGCCCTTGAAATGCTGTCTAGCGAAGTTAAGGTTCCTTTTGAACCGTCACCTGGCCTCGAGAAATGATCTGTGACTGTATACTTGGTCGTTGACGAAGTAAGGAATCCAGCATGTATAAATTCGTGAGCGCTCTCTTCCGTGAACTGGGATCTAGGAAACTTCAGCGCGGTCGGGTTTTCACACAGTAGTTTTGTTAAGTCCTCTTTTGAAGAAGCTTTAAGGTTGCTTCTCTCTATCATGATCTCTAAATCCTTCACCAATATCAAAACTTCCCCAAGGCTTCCTCTCCCACTGACAACAACTTTTCTTATCGCCCCTCCATGTACTAATTCTACAATCTCTCGCTCAACAGCAGTAGGAGAGTTTAGTAAAGCTTGAACATGTGAGACAGTAACAACATTTGGTAATGAATCCCGGTAGTTGAGGACCTCCGCGATTCGTGTTGAATTCATACCACTCCTCTGCACTGGCATCTGGCTCCACATCCTACCCTTGATATATTGAATGGCTTGCGCAACATCCCGTAAGGTGAGATCGGTTGCAAGAGCTTTGACCAAACCTACATCATCAAGCTTATCATCAAAAAAGTCCTCCTCTTCATCGTCATCACAGTCTGCTTTCGATTTCGATCGTTGCAGAGGTTTTCTTTTGGGTAGGGAAGAGAAGGGGGAGGAAGAACTTCGCTTCAATGAAGGGGTGGACTTTTTGATTCGACTCGAGAGTGCAGCAGAACGATACAGACTCATGGTTGGAACAGATCAAAATTCCGTACTGCGTGATAAACCGGATGATAAAGTTGAGTGAAGGACAATTGCCACTACCGACTTCAACATAATTACAAAGCCTGACCTGGAGCCTGTCCTGCCTCCTTGCTTATCCTTATCGGTTAGCCTTGCAGCTAGCCTTCATATGCACGAAATAGAAGATACATAAAGTAAATTTACCTTGCAATATTCAAGATGAAACGAATCATTAATTTATATTTTGAAATTTACATCTTTATATTATGACTTGAGATCAAAACATCAGTTCTTGTCTCTATTTTGACTACTTTGTGAAGCTAGCAATCGGGATAAAGTTGACCGACATCGATGACTAACACCGCATGCTGATCCACTGTCCACGCAAATGACTCTAGAATTTGTACTCACCACATCAACATTCGCTGTTCCATGACTGAATAAGTAAACAGCATTTCCTTGTACCTATAAAGCTTTCTATTCAGAGGATAACCTGTGTATCCATACAATCTCTTTCTCACCTATCTTACTTAACGATTATTCATCTTTCAGCTCCTTGTGTTGCACTTCCTTCTCAATACACTTCCTTCTCAATATAATCTACCAATATTCAAATACACTTTGATTATCGTGTTGCAAGATGCCTCCAACAATCATTCTGATTAGGCATGCACAAGCACTCCACAGTCAGTCAACAATGCTCAACTACATTACGGTTTCTGGCTAACATGGCACAAGATGTGTCTCATAAGTCATCCTGTAATATCATTTGTGACCTAGGCTGATGCTCCAGGGCACGCAACTATGAGCTACATGACCCGGCGTTGACCGATCTTGGCTTCGAGACACAGTGTGACGAACTGGCTAGCCATCTCGAGAATGAAGTTCCACTGGCTCGGGAAATTGGTCTCATTGTGGTGAGCCCCATGAGACGGACTTTGCAAACAGCGCAGCAAGGCCTGGGCTGGTTGATGAAGGGCGGTGTTCCCGTTATACTTCGACCTGAATGGCAGGAGAACTCAGACAAGCCATGTGATACAGGAACGCCCGTCGAGGTTATGGAGAAGGAGTGGCCACAATTTGACTGGTCGGCTGTTGACCCACTGTTTCCAGCAAAATCTGGTCTGTACGAGTTTTCTAAAGATGCTCTGACAGGTCGAGGACTTGCGGCTAGGAAATGGTTACAGCAACGTCCAGAGAAGGTTATTGCTGTAGTTTCTCATTCGGCTTTTCTTCGGACTTGCGTCAGCTACAGGCAATATGCGAATGCGGACTACCGGATTTTCGATTTTGCTGGTGGCGATAGACAAGAAAACGCTGAGCTTTTGGAGAGGGAAGTCACCGAATCCAAGGGCGGAGGGTTAGGGAAAAGCCCAAAGGGAGTCTTTGGAATGACCGTTGATGATTATCCCAGTGAGATTGAAAAGGACATTGGAGAAGCAACAACTGAGCTTCCAAAGTAGCTCGGGTGTGTAAGCTTAAGTTGAAGGAAGTTATGCATTGCTAAGATGATGTTGAAGATCAATAATCCTTTGAATCACCTGATTTATCGAACCCTTGAAAGTATGATTTGCTTCCATAATCTTATATTCAAACAAATCTCCTGTCCGAAATAAGCCATCCGAGCTATCAGCGCCAAATTCTCCGACCATATCCGAACAAGGAAGTATACCTAGCAACCGTGGCATGTCTAAATCATTTCTTGATGCCTTTCTTGTTTTCCGTTAGCAACGCAGATCAGAAGCTATGACTGGCCGAACTTCTTCTCGTGATCTCAGTTTGCTCCTCTATACTCTTTCCACTTCCTCTCCACCTCTCTTCCCAGTATGACATCATTCTAGTCATGAGAAATGTCCTTGAAGGAATTGATATTTCCCATAGGCTTCGAGTCAGCTGCCGGGAACAAGTCATGCTTCGAGAGCAACTACGGTGGGGGTAACAATTTTTCCCTTTGTTCCCTTCCGCTTTGGATAGCTGAGAGTGGGATATCTGATTGTCTTTCTACTGGGTTGATAAGACGATACTCTATATCATGAAAAGATTCTCTAGAGTCATGTAAGAAAAATATGGTAATCGAATTTAGCGACCTCGAAAGGATGGAAACAGGGGGTCTATTTATCTCAAACTCGATTTTGAATTGATTATTTTACTAATAATAGAAACCAAACCAAGGCCCTCATCTAGCTGTCCCATAAGATAGTATCTCTTCTCATTATATGTGTCTCGCCGTTTATTTAAAGTAAAATCGGATCTCTTATCAAGTCATACCCATGTTCCGAATTGTTCAATTTGGCATCCAAAAACATTTTAAACTTTTCAGTGCTAAATCTCTCTCAACTCTGCATCCATGCAAGATGACCAATCTGGCATATCATGTGACCTTGCTACAAAGACAGACTATGTAAACAATAACTAAATCAGACAACTACAGTAGATATCATGATGGAAAAAGCATAGAAAGCCGTGCGCCCTGTATTGCAGCATTTAGTGGATCGGGAGATTGTGAAAATCTGTAAAGTTATGTCATTTACGAGCAAGAAAACAGGAATATGAACACGTTTCTACGATGTTATGTGTGGCTGGTGCCTTTAATGATGCAAGTAACAACGAAGATGGAGAATCTAGAGCAGTCTATCAATGCTCAATTATCCTTCCGTCAATATATCACCGTACCTGTTGATTAGATTAACGTCATCTTGATCGATTTCTCCCCAGAAGAAGGGAACAAACACTCCGGGTTATTGAAATCGGCGTTGGACAATCTTGTCATCTCATAGACTCCCTCTGGGGGGATGCTATGTCATACCTCGGACCTGTATTTTGAGATGTAGTGTCAAGACCTAAGGCAGTGCTCTACAGGGAGGCGACAACCGGCGTAGATCCATTGGCCAAGGTTGTCGTATTTTCAGCCGTGGCTGACGTCCTTTGTCATGAACTGACTACACTCATCAGTTGTTCGCCCAATGGTTAACTAATTTTGTGGAATCCATGACCTTTTTAAGAGCAGAATTGGGGGTGAACAACAATTACTGCGGTGTGGGAAAGAAGGGAAGGAATACTCGTAGGAATGAGTACAAAGACTTAAGAGGCGGTTGTGTCCTGAGTAAGGTTTTGTTCTACATATGTCGATTACATGATGTGTTCACCCCAGTGTGTACACGCAGTGAGTGTCTGGAGACAGTCACGGGATGGACGAAATAAGTTATATTAAGTAAACTTTATATCATCATACTTTTCAATGATCCAATCCGGATTTTGGCAATCAAATTCTGACCATTCCGAATCCAATTTGATACTCAAGGGTTTGGGAAACCAGTTTTGGTGTGAGGTTTGGTTGTTTCATACAGATGAGGTAGTCAGATGGAGGTGGTCAGAATTTGATATACCTATCTAGCTAGGTAGCCATTCGACAATACTCACAAAACGTTCATCAATCTTTAACTGTTGGATGTATGTAAACATGGTATTCCGAGGCTCGAGTGCCGAGCATTCACCAGATTTATATCTATGGCGAGGTGAACTCTATAGTCTACACGGAGGTGGACCCTATACGTGAAGATGAGACAAGAATCAATGTGGCTGAGGAAGTCAAGAAAAGAACGAGGAAGCTAAAACATCTTAGAGGCCCTCCAATCAGATCAATACGTCCCCTAGTTTTTACCTCATTGGATTTAGCTTTGCTATCCTGATAATTTGCCCACATGAAGCCGACGCCATTACATGCTTCAAATGATCACCGAGCAGCTGATGGATGACAAGTAAGTAGGTAATGGACGCTCCAGTGGAACCCAGAACCCAGAACCGAAACCCGGAACAGCCATAAATATCAATATTTGTTGACAAATCCAACAATCAATATCTCAGATCATAAGTTGATTGAAAACAGTTATACACATTTATGAGAAGCTTTTAAATCTATTCTTTATGTTTGCATGTAGACTGATAATATCATAAACTATTGAAATCTGTGTTTTCGAGACACGCAGGTATGATTCCTCTGGAGTGATCTGGTCGAACTTATCGCTTTTTTCGTCCATATAGAGGCACTGGAGTCGCTACTACCTACTCCCTACCTATGTACTAGTACACTCTTCTTCATCCTACCCTACCAGGTATGAATTGCTTCGTGTAAAACGATTACTACCTCTGTACCGTAAGGTCTGGCTGGGTGCTATAAGTCTCAACTCTTATAAATGTAATACTAGTTACTAGTCTCAAAGCATAGACAGATATTAATTTGTATACAGTAATTTATCTTTAGAGTTCCTGAGTAGGTAGGTAATTTTAGTGTATTTATACGCACACAGAGTACATAATAACAAAACAGATTAAGGCAAGAAGAAGCTAAGCCTTGAAAGAGACTTGATCGCAAAAGAGTGGCGCTAACCTGGAAGTTCTATTGAGGCGCAATCAACCTTCAGCTTTATTTTCTATTCAGAACTTCTACTACTTCTTGTTCATCCATCAGGTTCGTTGCTGTGTACGCAGGAAAGTCAGCAGCTCCCAGTGCTCTCTACATTCGGTTTTCTCAATTTATCAATTTCACCACGTTCTCGATTTTTCAACCTGTATCATTTATTATCTTCATCTACTTGGATGTTATCCAGCCTGTCTGATTATGTTCAGCGAGATAGCAGCCCTCGTAGCCCTGGATAATTACGTTGTTTAACACGGTTTGCGATTTATTCATTATACCCAGATTCAATATACGATCGAATCGCTAAAGCCGTAGGTTCATCATGTCAATTGCAAAGCGTGAGGCGATCCTTTCTAATTCTCTACAGAAGCCCTATGATCCAGCAGAAATACCAGCCTCGCAACAATTTACAATCCGGTAGTGAAGACTCGACATGAGAGCTTGATTACATCACGAGCGTTATCAAGATCGCGAGTCAAGAATCAGTGCATTAAAGCGTCAATTTTTGACCTATTATAATATATCGAGTTCATGGCCTCAGAGCAAGAAACAATTTCCGCGACCGTACCAGGTTTTGCCGCGAACTTATCAGACCCCGCCACTAAACCTTCTCCTGCAACTTCAACTCATCCCGAATCCGAAAATACCAGACCAAGATCTTTAAAACGAAGTCAGGCAGATCAAACACAACCTCCGACGACAAGTCTTACATCAATCGCGAACGCGGGGCTGGTTGTTTCGCCTGCAAAAGCACCGCGATTCGGCGGCACGTTCTCGCCCGTGTTCCCTGCTGCGCCGCTCACCGGGGCAGCCGCCTTTGAAGACGAACGGCGGAAGAAGGAAGAAGCGCAGAAAAGTCAAATCGGCGCCATGAGCAAAAATCCCGGTCATGAGGCTATCGCGTCTCTTTTAGGCGGAGGGGGAGTTAGCGTGAGCAGGCCGCAAGACGCTCCCATCGCTGCAACCACTATGAGTGAGGGCATGTCTGCAGCTGCAAATGCACTGACAATTCCAACCACTATGCCATTCGACGAACGGGCTGAAACCAGCCCAGCGAGCGTGGCAAGCCTTGCAAGCTTGGGTAGCACGGCTCAAACTGCAACTGCGAGTCCTACAATTGTTGCGAGTCCGGCTGCCATGACAAATTCTTTAGAGACCGATGGTCGTGATGCGCGATCAGGTCTCAGTCAGCTGCAAGCTGCCATGGACGAGCAGCCCTCGAACAAATCTATGTCTTTCCCAGGCAATTTGGCACAAATGGATCCTTCACAATATCCTTCTCGAGGGATGAGCTTACCTATGCCCAATCAAAACCAGCAACTCCTACCAAGGTCGCCTTCTCAAAAGAAACATAAATGTCCTTACTGCGAGACTGAGTTCACACGACACCATAATTTAAAAAGTCATCTTCTGACGCATAGTCAAGAAAAGCCTTACGTGTGCCAAACTTGCCAAATGAGGTTTCGTAGGTTACACGATTTGAAACGTCACATGAAACTACATACAGGAGAGCGCCCTCATATTTGCCCAAAATGCGATCGAAAATTCGCGCGCGGTGATGCACTTGCTCGTCATAGCAAAGGCCTCGGTGGTTGCGCCGGAAGGAGGGCGAGCATGGGAAGTTTCGGAGGGGACGACGAATTTGATGGGGGTAATGTAGGGGAAGCTGATGATAATGGAATGGACGGAATAATGTACTCGAATGGCAATCCCCATCCCAACGAAGTAGAGATGTCTGAAGAAGACGGACGACGGTTTAGTCTGCCTAGTATCAAAGCACAGCATGTGGCTGGTAACACTGGTAGCCAAGATAGTTACAGCTCTCACTCACGTACTCCAAGCACCTATCCTCCTGCTGGCCCGAGACAAAATGCTCCCACAGGTCTTTATCCGCCCGGTACGGATCGCGTGGGCTCTTCTAGTTCGGCTACATCACCTAGCATGCAGAACAATGTTATTGGTATGCACACACCAAGCAACAGTGTCTCATCAATGCCTCTCGGCACTAGTCCTGGCTCGATGTTCTCCCAAAGTGGTATAACTGAGAGTCCTAAGCCACTAAGTCCAGCCGGTATGCATTCACACCAGCTTGGCCACGATTCTGCCTCGATCACCAGGCAACGATCACCCAGCTTGACCACTCAATTTCAGCAACAGCACTTTGGTCGTCATCAGTCTGGAAGGAGTCCACCTCCTGGGATGTCTTTACCATCTCCACACAGCGCACAGGGGCCAAAACTCCCGGCTCTAGCTGGCTTAGCCCCTCCTGATACGAGGTTTACTTTAACAAGTCAATTAACTACTCAACAGAGCCCTGGAAATAGCCAACAAGGTTCTCAACAGCAGCAGCAACAAATACAGCAATCGACATCTCCTACTTCATTGTTCCAACCTTCCAACCCCCTCCAAAGTCGAGGTCCACCAAGCCATCAAGGGAGTGGTGATAGTAGTAACAATCTGTTCGCATCTGGCGCCTCAGGCGTCTGGGCATATGTTAATACATTGGAGGAAAAACTCAAGCTGTTTTCCGACAGAGTTGTTGCCATGGAAGCAAAAGAGAAAAGCCAGGAAGAAAAGATTAAGGCTCAGGATGAGAAGGTGAACCAATTGTCAGAAGAGCTACTTGCTGTCCGTAGACAATTGAGTTCTCAGAATCAAGGAACATCATAGCAGCAATCACCATAGGACGCAAGTATACGCAGCTGTTCTAAACCAAAATCACTTCTGGTGTACAAAGATATCATGGCGTTGAGTAGCGAAAATTGGGGTCACGATACGCTTTTCGTGGACTACGAACCTTATGCACGAATTTCACTTCTTTTAGTGGAGGAGGCGTTTTATTTTGGGAGGTGTCTTCACGGGACTTTCAAAAAATGGTAGCACTACTTCTTCATAGAACTTGGCTGGCTTTCTCTCACTGTCGGCAAACCGGGTTATTTCTCTCTTTATTCATGGTGAAGATATTTCGGTAGGAAGAGATTTGAGGAAGGGATGAGACATGTATTTATATTTTTGCTGTAATCACAGAATCGCAGCGGCTTGCGGTCTCAACGTATTTCTTACCGAGTCGGAAGTTTACAAGTTATGAGTTTTTAGAATGTGTGATGACAGGTACCATTCGATGGAGATCTACTCTTTTGGAATATGATTGAAGCTATGGTTATACAATTTCAAGCCCTGGTAAAATCTATAATATTGAGGCAAAATGGTGATATTCGCGTGCAGACCGATATTGAGCGAGGGTAGAATGAAGGGGCGGAAAAACGAGAAGAGAATAATAGAAACTTGGCATAGGAATTGTTTATACAAAAAATTAGATATCTCTGATCTTTCGAGGTCTGAAGTTTCGAATCAATAACCATTGAATAACTACAGGTACAAACAATTTTAATCTATTTTGAATTTTCACTATGGATTCAAAAAGGTTGTATGCAGGCATATGGCATGGGTGATCATAACGGCTTGTGGCTTGTTCAGGTACGAACTGAATGTATTGTCCACGGGTACCATCAGTGGGGCAGCTCCACGATTGTCATTAGTGTACCAGGCTTCTTCCTTTTTCTTGAATATTCAGTATCAAATCATCAAATTATTATTTCGATTTATATAAAACTGCGAATTTATACAGTGATGGCTAGTTGATTATGATATGAGTTTATGTTTTGCTCGTGTAGATAACGGTATTTTTATTGCGTGTTAAACTATCAGTGTTCTCAATATACGGGTTTGTTTAGCTAATTAACTGTACCGCTTTTGTTCATCGATACTTGACAATCCCGTTCAAAGATAGGCACGTCATAGTCTAGAGTTATTTTTGGTCAATGCGAAACTGGACTACTTATTAGATATCCGCGTTGAAATACGGGAGGTCCGTCCTTTTCTAATTATCTAGTATTCTGCATCTGTTTTACTTGCTTGTCTTTTTGAGATATCGATCAATTATACGGTTCGCGACGGGGTACATTCATTACAATGCCAGGACCAACATTGAGTTCAGAGCCTGCTCTGCCAGAAGTACGCGAAAAGCTACACCTTCCACCCAAAAGTTATGCCGATGCTGCCGAGGAAACACCAGAGTCGCCAGATGATGGAAGCCATGAAAATAATGAAAATAAGGAGAATAGCGTGAATGGACAAACAGCCTTGGATGCGAATGGCTCAGGCAAAAATGGACCTAAGCACAAAGTGTCAGTCCTGAGGATCGTGGATACGAACGGTTCAGATTCTACCAGATCTGCCGACAAAGAGGATACCAGACCAAAGTTCGATAGGCAGGAGTCGAAGAGAGAGTACTCGGCAACGGTTCGTGCTGGAAGGAGCCGTCAATGTTTGATCTAAAAACTAACATTCCAGGGCCTCGACGATACTCCGAAAAGTCCTCCTCGACACAGGCATCGAAAATCATCTTCCCAGAAATCAAATGGGTCCCAGGAGAATGGTCAGGACTCGAACACAAATACGATGACGGATACTCAAAATAATACCAAGCCTAACACGGCCATCTTCGAAGGCGAACGCAATGGCAGTAAGCTCACAAGTGTGAAGCCCTCGGAGGATTACGAAAAAGAACTCCAAAGAGACCACAATGAAGCTCCAAAGTCTAAAGACGAAAAGTTGGTTAGTGGGAGACAAGCTGGACAAAGATGGCATACAAGCGGCATTCGATGGGCTCCAATGAATGTTCCACTTCAACGCAGACTTCAAACATTGGTGGTACTGTTTCATACACTCTGCATTGCCATTTTTGTATCAATGTTCTTTTTCCTATGCGCAATACCCCTTTTCTGGCCAATATTAATCCCGTATATGATCTACCTCATTACATCCAAGGCTTCAATATCCGGGACTTTGAGCCATCGATCAAACTTCTTCCGATCGCTACCTGTGTGGTCATTATTTGCATCTTACTTTCCAGCCCGGTTACACAGAACTCAAGAGCTACCGCCCACGAGGAAATATATCTTCGGATATCATCCCCATGGTATAATCTCCCACGGGGCGTTCGCCGCCTTTGCCACCGAAGCTCTTGGATTTTCTCAGCTCTTCCCAGATATCAAGAATACACTTCTCACATTAGATACCAATTTCAGAATACCGCTATATCGTGAATACGCTTTAGCAATGGGGCTTGCGTCCGTATCTAAAGAATCTTGCGAGAACCTACTTTCAAAGGGCGGGACAAACAAGGTATGTTCGAGCAATCTTATTCGTAATCAGATTCTAACTATCTAACTAGGAGGGTATGGGACGCGCAATTACTATAGTTGTTGGAGGCGCAGCAGAGTCACTAGATGCACAGCCATACAGTCTTAGATTGGTCCTCAAGCGTCGCAAGGGTTTCGTCAAGATGGCTATCCGAACTGGTGCAGACTTGGTTCCGGTTCTAGCTTTTGGTGAGAACGATCTTTATGATCAATTTTCCGCCGACTCACACCCATGGATCCACAAATTTCAATTACTGGTCAAGAAATTGATGGGATTCACCATACCCCTCTTTCATGCTAGAGGTGTCTTCAACTACGATGTCGGTCTTATGCCATATCGAAGGCCTTTAAATATTGTCGTCGGCCGGCCTATTAAAGTAATCCAGTCTAAAACTCCCGAACAACAAGATATTGATCGCGTTCACGAGGAATACGTGACGGAACTTGAGAGGCTATGGGACTTATGGAAGGACGATTTTGCTCCTAACAGAAAGGATGAGCTCCAGCTCGTTGAATGAAGTTTTGCTTTCTAAAGATATCTTTTCATACCGTCTTGGGATTTGGCATGCTTGTCGGCGCAAAAAGGATTCGCTTCTATGTACGAATAATATTATTTAGCACTCAACTTTACACGTCGACATTAGCTTACGGGTCAGAAAAACCGCGCCTAGCGTCAGCGAGGGCAAGATTAAGCGCAGAATGATGGATTGTCTTCATATCGTTAGTGGACAGCGTTGTAATTGTTGACGATATTTATTGCACTTGCCGTTATTTGTGAATGTGGAAAGAACACTAATAAGTGAAGCTTACAGTTTGACTTCATACTTGAATATGCCAGTTCAATTCAATGGCCCTACTCATTTGAACTATCTAGATAATCTATATGCTCCAGATCACTCAATCTTCCAGGCCAATGAAATCTTTCGAATCACTCGAATGTCGCGAGACCAATGAAATATCATGCTTTGGAATATGGACCATCACTTGGGTTCATGGGTGGACTTTGTCTGATTACGACTACACTGACTAGTAACATCAATGATATAGTAGACATCAAGGGAGATGGGCAGTTAGAGATCAAAGTATATTTATCCAGTATTCATTGGGTAAAGATTCCCTTCAATCTTTTCAACCCCTTGAATGCGGATGTTGCTACAGTAGTAGACGGAGGTTACTTATCTAATTCGGATCTTAAGCTGGAGGTACCATCCTACGATAATCATGCCATCACGCCGAAAGTACCAACTATGTTTCGATAATGAGTGGTCTTCTGAACCCATCAGTTCGGTATTCTCATTGCTCGTACGATACACCTGACATCTACACTCATCTGCAGACTAGAGCCAATTTCCATCAGCCTTCTTCTAGCGGAATTATTCAAGCGAAAAAAGTAAGGTACGGATACGAAATAAATCTGGCCAATCAACGCCGTTTAAATCTAAAGTATGGTAAGGTACCCTGCCGTCGTCTCCTTTTGAAGAAATATCCCATTTAAATTGTCGACATTCGCAATTCTGGGACAACGAATCTTCTCAAACTTTCTTGTCGTTACTTTCTGCACATCCTTTTTCGTGTCTTTGTGTGCCGGCAGTATATGCGATGGGTATTCTTGAAAATATAGCCGGGCCATTGGCTCAGGAATTTTCGCAGCGGTCAACGGGTGTTGTTGTTGCAGCGGGCGTGGCAGCTTTCATCGTTCTATCTGTCGTTCTCAATGTTTTGAATCAAGTATTATTTGCAAACCCCAATGAGCCTCCCGTGGTCTTCCACTGGCTTCCAATCATTGGCAGCACTATCACTTACGGCATGGACCCTTACAAATTCTTCTTCGAATGTCGCGAAAAGGTATGTTTTTTAATCTCTATGTTCATTGTTTGGAGACTAATATTTGGGTGTCAGTATGGCGACATTTTTACCTTTATTCTGCTGGGAAAGAAGACGACTGTGTATCTTGGACGAAAGGGCAGCGACTTTATTCTCAACGGCAAGCTCAAGGATGTCAATGCGGAGGAAATCTATACTGTTTTGACAACCCCCGTATTTGGAAAAGATGTAGTTTACGACTGCCCAAATGCGAAGTTGATGGAGCAGAAGAAGGTCAGTTTATTGCAGGCGGTAAGGTAAATGAGGGGATTTAATGGCTGACAATGCTGCAATAGTTCATGAAAATTGGCTTGTCTACAGAAGCTTTCCGATCCTACGTCCCAATCATACAAATGGAGGTGGAAAACTTTATGAAGCGTTCTTCGGCGTTCAAAGGTCCAAAGGGAACTGCTGATATTGGACCCGCTATGGCTGAAATCACCATCTATACTGCTTCGCATACTCTGCAAGGAAAGGAAGTCCGCGACCGATTCGATACCTCCTTTGCCGCTCTTTACCACGACCTTGACATGGGCTTCAGTCCTGTCAACTTTATGCTTCACTGGGCCCCTCTTCCTCACAACCGTGCCCGCGATCATGCTCAGCGAACTGTTGCCAAAACTTATATGGATATCATCAAAAGCCGACGTGCTCAAACTACGGAAGCAGAGTTCAAATCTGATATTATGTGGCAGTTGATGCGCTCGTCTTACAAGGATGGAACTCCAGTTCCAGATCAGGAAATCGCACACATGATGATCGCTCTTCTCATGGCCGGACAGCACTCTTCCTCATCTACAATCTCTTGGATTATGCTTCGCCTCGCCTCACGCCCGGACATTATGGAAGAACTCTATCAAGAACAAATCCAAGTCTTAGGTGCTGATCTCCCTGCTCTCAAGTATGAGGATTTGTCCAATCTTCCTCTCCATCAGAACGTTCTCAAGGAAACTCTACGTCTTCACACCCCAATCCATTCTATCATGCGCAAAGTAACTACCCCCATGCCAGTCAGCGGAACCAAGTATGTAATTCCAACGTCACATGTGCTTATGGCATCTCCTGGTTGCACAAGTCGAGATGATGAATTCTTCCCCGAAGCACTTGAGTGGGATCCTCACAGATGGGATCTTGGTTCCGGTCGTGTTATTGCGAGTGATCAGGATGAGGAATTCCAAGATTATGGTTACGGAATGATTAGTAAAGGCGCCTACAGTCCTTATCTTCCCTTCGGTGCTGGCAGACATAGATGTATTGGTGAACAATTCGCCACGGTACAGCTTGTCACTATCATGGCAACTCTGGTTAGATTGTTCAAATTCAAGAACGTTGATGGCAGCAAGGATGTGATTGGTACCGATTACGCAAGTTTATTCACCCGGCCATTGGCGCCAGCCGTTGTAGCATGGGAGCGACGATAAATGAATGGATTAATGGAGGATAAGTTACAATGACGACATGGCATTGCGTGGAGTTTTTAAAGGTTTGATCCTTATAGAAATATTAATATTATACCCGACTTTTTTAACTTTTCAGAAGAAGGGGCCGAGGGGGCTAGCTTTGGGAGATGATTGATGGAAAGGTATTCCATGTATATTAGAGTCATGTCATATAGTGATTGGTGAATTGGCACCATCTTGAGAGGATAAGCAATATTATTCGGTTGTAATTATTAAAGCATTGTTTAATAATGTAATTCGAGGGAAATGGAAAGGGTGAAAGATGACGGAAGAGACGGAATCAGCAAGTGATTGATGCAAATGATGAATGATGCCAATGTGATGAAGTGGATTCTCCTGCGGAAAACGGATAAGTGGCTGGCTGTTGACATGCACGAGGGGCAGTAATTGGATTGGAACCCATGAAATATTGCGCATAAATGGGACTCCGTACTACCCTTTTTGCCGGATTTGCCTCTGACGATTGGGGAATGTTTCAATCAAGTTTTTCCCGGAGACTCTCGATAATGTGTGGCGATTGCGATAAGGCTGAATGTATATGTACGAAGTATGTACATTGTATTGGGGGATAGGTATTCTCGACGGTGTACTAAGGTAGGTACACACAACGAGGTACACACTACACACAGTAGAGAATGGCATACTTCTTGAGACAATTGCGTGTATTGCCAAGTTAACATTCACACTTATGATTGTATTAGTACGTGACTTTGAGGTTTCTTGGTACAGAGAGGTAGGTGTGTCCCACGTGTGTGCTTGGATTCCTGATTGTAATTTATACCTCTGGTTTCTTTAGACTTTTAGTACACACTCATCTGACTACAAAGTAGTATTTCAAACGAGTAAAGTCGCTAGTGTTTCGGAGTGTGAATGTTTCTTATAAGCTATAAAGATAGTATGTTTATAAAATAGTTTTCTGTATATAAAGAGAGATTAAACAGATTAATATTAATCTCTTTTATTTATATATTTTTTAGAAAGACTATTTAATATAAGCTTAAAGTGAAAAAAAGTAATGTTTAGTTTATTGTTATATAATTATTATAAACATTTATATTAGATTCGTTTTATAATTACTTTTTATACTTTCTATTTCATTCGAAATTATTTCTCTCTCTATCTTTATTCTTATTTCTTATATTTCTTTATTTTCTTAATTCTTTTTATAATTAAATTAGTAAAGATACTATATAATTAAATATAAATAGATTTCTAAATCTTGAAAATAAGATATATCTAATTAATACAGAAGTTTTATAAAATCCGATGTATAAATTTCTTCCACTATACTTCGAAATGTAATATTCGAATTATATCTCATTTATATAATATTTACTTACTTGTCTATCTCGAGGTCTATCTAGGTATAATAATGTCTCCTGAGGATTATCTTCTCACCCACCTACCTATCTAGGTAATATGTAAGACTAATAAAGATTAATAAATATCAACGAATAAATCAACTAATAATACAGGCTAAAAAGAATCTCCTCAAGAAATTTACCGATGCTGGTGTGCTCAACAAAACAATTTCCCGCAGACTATATCCGAATTTAAAAGCTTGCCGCTTTCGGAATAATTCGTTTTCTCCTACCTTCCTAGTTTTATATTAGACATTTGAGACCCCTCGGATCAAAAAGTAACTTATTATTTACTGATTGACTCTTCGACCATCGGCTAGTTTCTGATTCCAGTCCAATCGACTTTACCTTCATATTGTCCTCTCGTGATATCGGTCATAAGTCTTCTGCATTTACTTATTACTATTCTTCTTTCTCAATTCGTCTATTTCTTTCCTCGGTCTTCTCCTAATATATCTTTTGTTGCCGTCCCTGTCTCTTTTCTTCTCCCACTTCACATTGTTGCCGTCCCTGTCTTTTCTCTTCTCCCACTTCACATCATTCTACGACATTCGAATCCCTCATTACATCTTTTCTATGCTACACTTTGACAACTAGAAACGAAGCCAATTTGTTTCACAGACGATCAATATTGTGAACCAAGGAACCTACTTGAACCATGGTTTGCGCAGCGTCATCTTTGACGGTGGAGTCTTACGAAGATGTTACTACCAGTACGATGGCTTCAGGGAGAGAAGAAACCAAACCCCTAAACAAGAGACGACATTCCTCCTTTCACCCGCGACGAAAAAGCAGTGACCAAGTGTTGGATGGCGAGGAAAGTCTTATGCTTAA